CCAGATAAAAAAATAATATTTTATCCGAATATCACTTCTTATCTGTGTTTCATAATTGGGTAACGTAGTCTGGCAATATTTGTCATCAGCAGCTAGCTGTCAATGTCAAATACGTAGGTTTGTCATCAAAAGGGTTTCTATATCAAAAAATATTAATCATTAAATAACTTCTTTCCACGATTTACTAAAAATAAGGCAAAAGTAGTTTTATGTAGCAAATAATTTTGACTTTATTTTGAGACCAAATTCAACTGTATACAAGTTTAGCATTTTTTCTATGAAAAGTGCCGGGTCTCCTTTGCTATGAAATGATCCGAATAAGAAGAATAACGGACGTCCGGTAAACAAAGCATTGGGCTGTATATTTTTAAACTGCAAAGCTTGATCGTGCGTCCGACTTAAAAAATCATTCGTCGATTTCGGTACCGCAGCGGTATTAATTATACCTACGCGAGGATCAAGGTTGGCAACTGAGATTTGGCCCAAAAGATATGTAGGAAGGCCACAGGGGAAGATCTTCCTCCGAGCTGGGTGATGGTAGCTCGGGGGCCGCGGCCCGACTGATGTTCGTCGGGCATCGTGTATATGAAGAGTTACCCTCCGAATTTCATTTGCGCGATGTAGGCTTCCAAACTAATATTGATCGCAGTGCAGGTAACGCCATCTCTTGAGGATGGTCAGTAATGATTTCCTCCATCCGTTGTATATATGTGGGGCATATAGATGTCGCCGCCACAGATATTTAAACCCCATATTTGGTGATTTTGTTGGTAGGTTTAAGTCGCGGCACGAAACTCTAGCGCTGTCCGTTATTGCGCAGAAGTAAAAATTAAGATGTCTTAGGGGGGGCAGCTATCCCCACCGCGTTTTGTTCATCGCTAAATTTACGTGCCGCGACCTGTATGCACTACAATATGTGCATTACTCGCATCATACAATATGATTCAGAAATAAAGTACACACAATTAGGGATGAAACGATACGAGTAAATACAAGTAACTACTCGATACTTTTCTTTCGATACCAAGTACTTTTGGTATCGATACTTTAGAACCTAGTACAAGTAGTATCGTGAAGTAAGTATTTGTATCGGTACTCGGTCGGTCAATCACTGAGAAGTATCAAAAAAACTCATAGGCCATGGTAAGGTGTCTTGTTGGAATTTTTGTTTCGCGAACGCATTTTTTTCTCTTCAGTTGGTAGCCTTGCGTATGATTTATATTTATTCCAATTTATTTGACTGAATAGTCATTCGTCCATCGCGTGGCGTAAGCCAATATTTTATATTCGTTAAATTAAAACTGTGACTAAATTTATAATTGTGATATCGTTCGTCAAAATGTATCGATACAAGTAAGTAACTAAGTATCGATACTTTATGACCGATACAGTATCGATACCTAGATGGTATCGTTCCACCCCTACACACAATTGCTTGTTCAATTTATTCAGGACAGAACTGCTCCTCTTCTGTGGATATGCAGCCTTACTCTGTGGACAAACTCCATCTCCAAGGTTGCCAAGAGTGTGTGTTTTGCAAATGAAACAAAAGTTTCGCACACCACAGGTTTTACTGGAAAGTTCGAAACTCAAATACAACGCATTAATACATATATAAACTGCTGCAATTAAACCATATCGCGATTCACAACAATATAACGCCATCTATTAAAGAAAATACAAATTCATACATCAATAACTACTTAAGGTTTCTATTTACTATTTGGTCATACTCTGCCACGGTGGTCGTCACTGGTTCGGTAATAGTTTTTCTCAACGATATGTCAAAATCTTATAATAATCTCTTCACTCAGTATAAAAATCTTTTGAAGCTATTCAGGACTCACAAGGCTTGGACTTCTAACATTTCCAACAATAAAATGGCAGTATATCCCACGGGAGGCGACCCGCATCGATAAATCCCCGAGATTTATACAGCATCCCTATAGATTTTACTATCAGTCATGGGAATATGAGATACTTACGTGTGGCGTTGTGACAGGCTACGTGCCAGAGGAATACGAGCAGAATTACAAACAGATGTTAATACGACTAGTATTGATGGCTGATTATTTCTCGGAGGATATAATATTGTCTAAAATGCTGCTGAAATAAATAGATTATCATAAAGATACCACAGTTAACGGAAGGTTTATTTCTCTCAAAAGAAAAAGAATTTTGAGTGAATTATTTTATAACTTTTAAATATCCGTAATATTTCACAACCATATTCTAACTTATTCTAACCAAGTTTTATATACAAGCAAATACTTTCAGAGAATGATATTTCGATAAATTGTGTGGCGAACTAATATAACGACCTCTCACATATCCTGGTAAAGGATTATAAGTAATAATCTTAAAAAAAAACATCCAAGGTGCTGGTAATTCCATTGTACACTAATTGGTAATGAGGGGTAAGAACAATGTGTGAATAAATTGGCAGTAAACTTGAAGACAGAGAATATAAATCTCTGGCTGAATAAAAGTGATATGTCTGGTAAAAGTCGTCAATCACTTGAATGTCAGTTATACCACTTTAAAAGCAATAAAATGATACGCAGGCTAATCTAACAATAGTGATTTCCAATTAATATGAATGCGACAAATGTTTTTTTATCAGTTTGTATTCTTACCTCCAACCAGCTGTACAGGCTGATATGAAAACATAAAAAAATTACGGGAGGTTAAAAAATGTACTAAATCTGTGGTGTACAATAAAGTGTTTTGTATTGTATTGTAATAGTTTTAGAAAACTGATATCGACAACTGTTGGTATAGAATCCGACGGAAATATTAATTATAATGTTTTTAATTACCTATCGCTCGTCGCTTATGAGCGGGCAAGGCCGACGCTGTTTACAACTATGCGTCAAGCGATGTTTTATTTACGTATGAGCACTTTAACATTTTTTGCACGAAATCGTAATTTTTGATTGCCTATTTTAACCTCTTAGAAATGATTTTGACTATTTTTGAAACAAGTAAAAAGTAGATTTACCTTTCTTATTGTAAGTTAATGCAGAATATGTACAAATATTATTAATACTTTTTTTGTATTCATCGTTCTACCGCACCTCGTTTACGGAAAAAACGATAAAATGCACAACTCCAATGCCTAGATCTATGAATTAGTTTGACTGAACTAGTTTAAATTAATTGCTACATTATCGGAAATATGTTCTTGTTTTTACATAATCTATCATAATACTGAATTTCAGTCTCATTAATTTTAAAAAAATCATCAACCCTCTGTCAGTTTTATTTAATAATGTCTCAGGTTTACCTCGTGTTTTGATATTGAATAAAGTACAATAACTATCAAAAACTATTATAAACCTAATCTACAATCATTAAAGAACGGAAATAGAAATATTTTTCTTTCTTCTTTCTTTTTTTTCTTTGTCGTACTCAAGGGCGGATCCAGAGGGGGGGTCACGGGGGTCATGACCCTACCCTGGGCTGGGTCCATCTGTACCCACTGTGACTTGACCACGACTATATGACCCCCCCCCCCCCCCCTGGCGCCAAAGCTGGATCCGCCCTTGGTCGTACCATTCGTAAGTGGAATTCTTTACCCGCGCACGTGTTCCGTCCTTCCTATAATCTGGGGTCCTTTTAGAGATGCGTGAAGAAGCATTTTTGTAGGCCGGCAAGGTGAGGGTGGTTGGTGTAGCAGTTTATAACTACTGTACCAGCTATCTTCGCGTTTGGACTTTATCACCACTTAACATCAGGTGGGGTAGAGTCATTTGCCTACCTCGCTATACAAAAAAAAATTACAATTACTTCAGTTATTATTATTTTATAAGACCTAAAGCATCACCCGTAAAATGCAATATATACTAGTGCTCAACTACCTATTCGAGGTAGGACCTATGTCATTTTTACCGCACGCATCCCGAGCAATGCTCCGAGTGCATTTATCGTACACCGGCTGGATATACTACGACCGCAAAAGTTTGATTATTGATTTTATATACAACTAAGTAGTAGTAACTTTTATTAACCGTATATCTTTATATATATAATTCTTCTGTGAGTGTGTATGTCACTGAACTTCTCTTAAACGACTGGACCGATTTTGATGAAATTTTTTGTGTGTGTTCAAGGGGATCTGAGAATGGTTTAGATTCACAATTTTGTCCGCTGGACAATGTTTTTTTTTTTATTTTTTTTTTTATGGCGGTACGAAGTTCGCTGGGTCAGCTAGTTATATTATAGTTTTACTATAGAATGTGTTAGTAATTATAGTTACTTCACCTAATTCCAGCGCAGATGAGTCTGCTCTATACGACTTTACTATCGAAATGTTATCTAATTAATAACTAATAAAAATAACATTATTTCTGAAGCAAAAACTTCTTTTAAAAAAGACGACCAGCTCCCGACACTGTGATTTCAATCTTGATCTAATACAACAAGCGCTCCTTCGAAAGCAAGAGGTCTTGAGATAGAACCTGACCGGCAAATAATTATAAAAATTTTCATCATCATCATCGGGAAGCCGATGGATCCGTTACAATCTAGATCATTCATTGCTACTCATAATCCATCTTAGTCTCTCAAATTAAATTTCCTTTTTTTTTACACTTGTTAAATAACTTTTTATTTGTATACTAAAGTATCGAATTGATATGTCGCACTGTACTGAACATCGTCGTGTCTATGTCTCATGCGACTCGGGCATGCTCGCGGCCGTATTTACCTAAACTGCAGCAGCGGAATTTTGTGAAAGGACTCTCGCTGGCGGCATCAACAGCGCCGGAAATACTCCAAATATTTACGTTGCTTATGTAACTTTGGTATCAATATTTGCAATTATTGATCACTGTTGCGCGTGGTTCCGTAAAAATGGCTCCGTTAGCATAACAAACATAACACTGAAATACGCTTTGCAGCAGTCACCTATGGTTTAAAATTCACATAGTGTTCCTCGTATATTATGGTCATGATAAAAACTTATGATTTATTTAACACAATTATGTTCTTGTCTGCAGATCAGCGGCCTGAAGTTCGAAACACAACTTCGCACGTTGAACCAATTCCCAGAGACTCTTCTGGGCGACCCATCCCGGAGAATACGATACTTTGACCCGTTACGGTGAGTATATTATAAATAGAAAAAAATATGAATCTGCAATCCAACAACGCATACAACTACTACAACACTGCATATATATTACATTTAAATGAATACAAAATATGAAAATAATCATAGGAATAAAGTCTACGTGGAAAAGAACGCGCTAGCGGTGGAGATATATTTTTTAAACTTCTTTAACGATATACTTAATTGCCCCAGGAACGAGTACTTCTTCGATCGGAACCGACCATCGTTCGACGCCATCTTGTACTACTACCAGAGCGGAGGCCGGCTGCGGCGCCCCGTCAACGTTCCACTCGACGTCTTCTCGGAGGAGATCAAATTCTACGAACTCGGAGAACAAGCCATCAACAAATTCCGGTATATTTTTCTGAAAACCATTAAATGATATCCATTATTTTACAAGCAGTTTATAAATAATCACCTATGTGTTACAGTGAGGATGAGGGCTTCATAAAAGAGGAAGAAAAACCGTTGCCCTCCAACGAACGTCAGCGCAAAATCTGGCTGTTGTTCGAATATCCCGAGAGCTCCCAGGCTGCTCGCGTTGTGGCCATCATCTCAGTGTTCGTCATCCTGCTTTCCATCGTGATTTTCTGCCTCGAGACCCTGCCTGAGTTCAAACACTACAAGGTGTTCAACACCACCACCAACGGAACCAAGATCGAGGAGGACGAAGTGCCAGACATCACCGACCCATTCTTCCTGATAGAAACCCTCTGCATCATATGGTTTACGTTTGAGTTAATAGTGCGGTTCTTAGCGTGTCCGAATAAATTTAACTTTTTCCGCGACGTGATGAACATAATCGATATAATCGCCATCATCCCGTACTTCATCACCCTGGCGACCGTGGTTGCCGAGGAAGAGGACACATTGAACCTACCCCGCGCTCCGGTGTCACCACAGGACAAGTCCACCAACCAAGCCATGAGTCTCGCCATCTTGCGGGTCATTCGTCTCGTACGAGTGTTCCGTATCTTCAAACTCTCCCGTCACTCCAAGGGATTACAGATTCTCGGTCGGACACTCAAGGCATCCATGCGCGAGCTCGGGCTTTTAATTTTCTTCTTGTTCATAGGTAAGTGGTCGACTTCATGGATTTATCATATGCTTATAACATTAAATAAAACCTTTTACAATTTCATGATAACACTTAAAACTTTTGAAATAAAATGTAATATGAAAAGAATTAATTTGTAATTGTGTAATGACGTAAATAGTATAGAATATTCATAAGGAGATTGTGATGATATGGGCGCGTCGGAGCGAGTGCGGAGCTCGGCGGCGCACGCGGAGCGGGCTCGAGCGAGCGTGCACAATACGTTTTGTGTTCGCAGGGGTGATCGTGTTCTCCAGTGCCGTTTACTTTGCTGATAAAGATTGTGCCGATTCCAATTTTTCTTCTATCCCCGATGCATTTTGGTGGGCAGTAATAACGATGACTACCGTCGGCTATGGAGACATGAGGTAACCCGAGTCGCGTACCCGCCCTACGCCCGCTCGCAGCTCCCTGGCACTGTATGTCGCACTCTATTCTCCGTTGGTGTGTGCTTGTTCTTAAAGGTGTGGTGCTGTTTTCATCTGCGGTGTACTTCGCGGAAGCCGGAAGTGAGAACAGCTTCTTCAAATCCATACCTGATGCGTTTTGGTGGGCGGTCGTGACAATGACGACCGTAGGATACGGAGACATGACGTATGATACAGCGACATCACCCTAAATTTCGTATTTGCCTTCTCGTCATTTCATTTTTATTCCTTCAATCCTACATTGGCATTTTTAACACAATTGTGATTTTCTTTCGCCACATCATGTAATAACTATACATATGCTTCTATTTGATTTTATGGACGGTTCGCTTAGAACTTAACCAATCACTACACACTGTCACTCTTATAAATATTGCACGTTTACAAACGTTCCTGAATGTATTGTTACTATACATTATAATGGCATACCTTCCTCTTGAATCCGACAATTTTACATGGAAGCATATTTGTAAAATTTCCTTTGCACCAGTGTTGATAAAGTACCTATATTTGATTTAATTGGACGAGCATTCGTGTACATGTACTGTACACCACATAACCTGTCGTCGGTGTTACAATCGCCCCTTCCAAAGCGTATATTGCGAGAGAGAACAGCTTTCATTGTGACACGAGTACACTTCAACTCAGATGAATCTCGGAGTCACACATTGATGTTGTAGAACCACAGATTGAGTTGAAGTGAAGCGTCCGTGTTATCCAGTTCCACGTCCACCCAGTGTATGCTCTGTAACGCTTTTGCTAAAATGAAATGTTTCCCCAATGTCGGTGTTGTGAAATGTTCGATCATGTCAATTCAATATAATAGCTCATCGAAAATGGTGATCATTCTTAATGGCTCGCACCATCATACCCATATCTTATTAGAGAGCGACTTAAGAGTTATTTTGCTCGTATACATCATCTGTTTCGAATATATATTTTATCTTCTCTCTCTGTTAGCGATTCATAAATCTCCCGCAACTTCCCTTGACCTCGGAGTGTGGTTGGTAAATTTTACATTTAGCTACTATGTAAAATTGATGTTCATTTTTATCACCGCTTTTTTATCGTCGGCTTCCCATTGTTAGCTTTCACACCATTTTCGATAGAGGTACAAACAGTAATACGCGCTGTATTCCGTAAAGCATGATGACGTCTGTGCCCTAGGTATTCGTAGGATAAATGTACACATGGTAGCCGCTGGTGTTTATTTCACTTTTACTTTTCGGTTCGAGTCCCTCCTTCACGTCTCTATCTATCCTAAATGCTTGATTACAGAAATATCCCGTTAAGAGTTAAATGTATCGGAAATCTATTTCGGTTGCGTTATAATTATAACAGCAAAGCTCTCGGTCTGATAACGCAATTGCAATAGAATCGGCCTATACACTTGGCCATTCGAGGTTCGTTTCTGTAACCGAGCATTCTTTGCTGGCGATAACTATTAAATGCAAAGCGATAACTAACAGTTACACTTTGTGTAACATGCTGGCGAGTATGAAAGATGATGAATGAAATTGTATTACTTTTGATACACTACAGTAATGCAAAGCGAATGTTAACCCAATATTTCCTCTGTCTGTGCTATTTTCAGGTCACCCGTTTAGGTTTTTAGTTCGTTCATCGTTTCGTTACATGATTTTGTTTGTAGTAGTTACTGGAGTCATTTATCAGTTTTGTTAGTAGTTGACGTTATGTGATGGTACGTATCATTAACGCATGTTCACATCACCACCATTTGTTTTTTAACATGGATCGTAGTTTGTTCGTTGTATGCATTCGGCGAAGGTGTGCGTCGGGCCGGTCCTAATGTGTCCGTTTCTGTGTAGGCCTGTGGGCGTATGGGGCAAGATTGTGGGCTCGCTGTGTGCCATCGCCGGCGTGCTCACCATCGCGCTGCCTGTGCCTGTCATCGTATCCAACTTCAACTACTTCTACCACCGCGAGACTGATCAAGAAGAAATGCAGTCCCAGAACTTTAACCATGTCACTAGCTGCCCGTATCTTCCCGGCACTATGGGCGAGCCATACTTGAGTAAGTCTATCGTTCTTATAAATAACACCATCATCTCCATTGACCTATAAGATTTTATCTACGTCCAGTTTCGTTCTATTAAATTTTACATCACCACAGATGCTTTATCGTTGATTTAATTTATTAATTTTTATTTGTCGGTGTTGCAAAGTGATGTCTCTTTTACTACACAATGGAATTTTATTTTCACTGTTGCATGAATTTCGGCTTCCACCGTTTCTATTGCATGTTTTTGTTTTATTTATTTCTTTTATGTTGATTTCCGTAATTTCAGGTGGGAAGGACGATGACAAGGACGACGTCTACAGTGAGCAATGACTGTACGATAATAGTGTTAGTTGGCTTCTCGTTATTAAGGACACCTCTATCGACAGAGACGATATTTGTGATATTACCGTGTAAGAGACGACAGTTTTTGTTTTTAGGAAAAAACGTGTTATGTATATATTAGTATAAGCGATGTAAAGATAGATTAAAAAAATGTTATTTATTTTGTTAATTATGTTTGGGTGACAGTGTGTTTCTCGCAGTTTTGAGGACGGTTTTGATATTAGTAAATATTAGAAAGTTCCAGTGAATTTTTTTGACGTTTTAATGACCACCATTTTGATGAAGCGTTCATTGGTAATAATATGTTAATACCCATTGGCGACTTAGTAGCACAGCTAAAATTATCTAATTGACTACTGACAATTGGTCATTTCTTCAAAGATAAATACTATCTACCTGCTGTAAGTTTTCTGCACCAAATCAAATATTGGTAATCTTTCTAACATATAATATATTATGAAAACAAAAGCTGTGTCACTCTTTTAACTTTTTTAAGTCAATATTACAGATTATCTCTCAAAAAGAATGGTACATGTAACATGCTGCTTATGTGTGTTTTGGTTACGAGCGATTGTAAGCCTAATAGGCCGGTCATTAAAGACATCGTATGTTGCAATAAATTGCCCTTTATAATGCGATTCAACTAAGAATAGGACCGAGTGGGCGCCATATTTTGACGTTATAGCTGTCAAATCAAACCAAATGGGTAGAGTGAGCAAAAAAATTTTGCTATTTAATAAAACTTATTTACTAAGACTAAGTGAGACAAAACATCAGATTTTTTAATAAAATTATTTTACTAAGGTTGAGAAAGTACACAACCGATTTTTAATAGTATTTCTTTATTAAGACTGTATGAAAAAACATTAATCAGAATCTAGCTCTTCAATTTCGCTCATCTCTGCATTACCGCCGGAGAAGTTATGAATAATCATGCAGGTCACATACGAAAATGCAACCTATATGTAAACAAAAGTTTTAAATCGAGTTTCTGAACGCAACATAAAGTGACATTTGGTTGACGATATAGGTTATCAACCATTCATAGGCAATACTCAATAAGTGAAAAAAGAAACAAATAATATTAAACATCAGCATTTGTTATTGTTTGTTTAAAAATGTTTGGTTTTTATTCTAGAATCAGCTGAGTACTAAAAAAGTGTTTCGAGATTTTTTTTTGCAAACCATACTTTTCAAGCGAAATTTGACAGATGGAGGTCATTGGCTTTCCTATTCTTATTTAAATCGCATTATACTGTATTTTGCCATGTTATTAAGATACTTAAAATAATTTTGCAGCTTCAAAAGACCTGTACAGTAGAACCCGTTTAATACGATCACGCTTAATACGATTTCTCGTTAATACGCCATTTTGCGTCAGGCCCAGCAACATGAGTCATGTTTTCATCCATTTCTTAACACTTAATACGATTCGTCATCCCGTTTAATACGCCTAAATCGCCAACATTTACCACACATATTACCTCTTGCGGCAGCAAAAAATTCAATGAGAATGTGAATAACACACAAGAAGAGGATCTGAGTGATAATGATCAAGAAAAAGATGAGTCTACTCTGATTTTGTCACACGCCCAGGCATTATCAGCAGTTAATGATTTAAGACGCTATGTTACTTCTTTGAATCAAAGCAAAGACCCAATGCAAAAGTTAAATTATGTTGAAAATCTTGTAATAGCTAATGCTTCAAAATCTTTTGACAAACTAAAATAAGTGATTAATTTGAATAACGTAATAATAATACACTACATTTTTTTATGACATACATAATTCTTAAATATTATAAATTTAATATCTCAATACCCTACATTCGAACTTTCCCTATCCCCCAATCCCGCATAATACGCTGTCCCGCTTAAGAAGCGTTTTTGGGTGAGACCCTGTGAGTTCGTCTTAAACGGGTTTTAATGTATATCAATAGTGTCAAAACAAATTTGCAGCCTACCAACTGCAGTTTATTCCAACCAAACGCGATTTTTGCGTCGACGGTGACTGGACTATAATATTTATTTTATTTTTTAATTTGTTCAGCTTGTTTACCTACCCTTGTGTCATGTGGATAAAGAGAGCGTAAGTTTAATTTTTATTTTATTTTTATCATTTATGTAGTCACAATTAAACACAAATTTTACAGTATTATATTAATAAATTTAGTACGTGATATTATTGTATATATTTGATGATACTTTAATAATTACTAAAACCGTTTATCTACATAAAGCATACACTTTTTCGCTAATGTTCCACCTTATTATGCATTATCAAATAACAAGCATTTTGAACAATCAGATTTTTCAGAGAAACACATTTTCAGAGAAAACGGTATCAAGATAGGTACAAAGACGATTTCTAACTACCATTGAGTTGCAAACATCATCTCTTATTTCGTGATAGTATCTCGCTAAAGGTGCGATCCGACGGCGTGTGTTGCCGCGGGCTCAGGGTTGCCAAACATATGAGAACTCTAACGTTTCAGATTTAGCAGTCTCCATACATGATACGAGGTAAATAGGAATCTCGTACATTTTGTGATGGCATATTGAAGCTGTACTTACTGAGTCGATCTTTGTGGACTTGACATTTATATGCTTTTTTCTTATAATATTTTGGGTTCGTGTACATGACACAAACAGTCAACATTGTTCATTATGTCAAAATGTACGAGACTTCTATATACCTCGTATCATGTATAGAGACTGCGAAATCTCACATGTAAGAGTCTCATACGTTAGGCAAATTTCGCGCGGCCGCACACGCGACAACACACGCCGTCGGACCGCACCTTAGGAAGGCCTCCCCAAGCTTGTGACTTAAATTCTGTGGTTAATAACATGCATTAACTAACATACTTATTTAACCCATCCGCTAGATTTGGTAATAGATTGTAAACCAATTTTTAAAAATTGGTACCCAAAATCAATTATTTATTATAGCTGTCATAATTTCGATCAGAAAGTATTTTCACAATAGCAGTTATATTGATAGTAAAATACGTACTTTGTTCTTGGAATTTAAGTAGGGTTCCTGAGTCAGTAATATCGAAAGGTCATTTACCTCATTTCTCATTCGGTACAGCAAAAAAATGCTTTATGTTGAAAGCCTAAGTGTCGCCGCACACGGGCCACCGACCACAACCACAAAACGCCGCCGCCGGCATATTTCTTGTAGTTTTCATACATTTTATATAGACTCGCCACACACGATACGCCGGACGCCGCCACAAATCGTCGTTGCTCGCTTCTTGTGGCCCGCACCGGCCACTTAATGCGCCGATACAAAACCCCGCCACACGTCACTCGCGCGATTCCCGACCCATCTCTTCCTTACCTAGTCGGCCGCTGTTGCGCGCTTCAGCCACTTTAGTAGCCGCTTCTGGCATCTCGTGGCGGCGTTTGTGGCTGTGGCCCGTGTGCGGCGACACTAAGGCAGATTTTCATTGTTCCAAGAATAGGGATAAAAGAATATATTGGTCCTTTGTTACGACGTTCTAATTTAGTTGACTGATATTTATTTATTAACTTAACTTGCTTACATTGTTTTCTTATATTCTAATCAACCATCTTGTTGTACGCCAATGACCAAGAGAGAGAAATCCGCTCAACAGATTAGGTACATGAATATATTTCAAATTCAGATAGTCATTCAGACATATATTGACATTCACTTATCAGTCTATAAGATTTCTAAAGGGCTGATTTATCGAACACAGGATAAAATTCATCTGTCTCATATCGTATTATACGGACAAAATAAATAGTTGTTTGGTTGTTGTAATGTGAGGGATGACTTCTCTCTCTATTTGATCGAGTATCAATTTTTTAAACAGTTAAGTTTTAATGAAAGTTTTGTTAAATCGGCACGGAAAATGAAAAGGTAACACTTTTCATTCGAAAGTGTTGTGAATTATAGTAGGCTTGGAGAATTTAATTGTCAAACTATTTTCGGACGAACGAATTTTCGAAATCAAAATAAACAGAGAAATTTCGTTTTTCGCTGACATAGAGTAGGCCTCCAGTTCGGCTAATAAAGTGTCGTAAACTTAGATTCTTAATAGACAAATTGTGCGGCCCGCCCAACCGTGTAATTGGACTGCACACAGTTCCGACGCCCGCCTAACGAGAAACTCCCTACCCTTGCAATACCGCAACATGACGCAACTCTTATTAAGTGACACAGAAACTCTAATATCGCTAATATCCTTTCACAAATAATAATTAAATAGGTATTTGTTCAAAAACTATTTTATAGAAAAATTACTGATATCTGAAAATAAAATATAAATACTTTAAAGGAAATTTTGCTTGAAAAAAAATACATTCGAGCCAGGTTTCAGAAGGGATGAAATGAACCGACGGGGGAGGGGGGGTTCTAATAATTTTTTCTTTATAAATATCATATTTACATTTATATATCTTAATATATATAAATCTCGTGTCACAATGTTTGTCCTCAATGGACTCCTAAACCACTGAACCGATTATAATAAAATTCGCACACCATGTGCAGTTCGATCCAACTTGAGAGATAGGATAGTTTAAATCTCAAATTATTGTCGCAATTTTAATTTATTGCAAATTTATTACTTTATTACTTTTGGGCGGTACGAAGTTCGCCGAGTCAGCTAGTCTATATATATAAAACTCAAAGATGAC